GGTTGACCTAATTCTTGTTGAGTAAATTCAATAAGCACCACAGATCCATCCCAAGAACAAGCAGCTAACCGTAGGCCACATGGTGACCAACTAGCATCTAAGACTGAATGTGTAAATAATTCATGTATTACTACTAAAGGCCTTTTTAGCGATGTTAACCACACAGATAAAGAACGATCACGTGATCCTATTGCAACACAGCAATACTGTTGCGGCTTGGAAGAACCTGGTTGTTTCTTTTGTAGAATATTACCATTAAATCTCTGTAATACATGGTAAAATTAATGAATTATTTGACAAACTGTTTTAAATATAAAAACTACTGCATCTATTTTCTGTGTTTAACATATACCACACATGTAACAGCTTTACGATGACCAACAAAATCCTTGTCTTGTGTCCACCCATCCCTTTCAATTATTTGTGCTGTAGGACCTCCACCATTCATTGCATGAGCTGATACTAAATACTGACCATCTGGACTCCAAGAGAGTCTTAAAACATGAGTTGTACCACCACATTCATCAAATGGTTCAGATATTAATGCTGCTTCTGTCCAATCTGTGGTACGCCATACTCGTAATGTTTTATCATCCGATTGAGAAGCTAAATATTTTCCTACTGGGTCCCATGTAATTCCTTTTACAAATCCTGTGTGACCTTTTAATACAGCTACAATGGCTGGAAATTTTGATGCATCCCATACAATTACACTATTGTCCACTGATGCAGAAGCTAACCATGGATTATGTGGTGCCCATGCAAGGTCAAGTACGTCAGCTTCGTGTGAACGTAATGTAGCTATGCAACGCCATGTTTCAACACTAGACTTGCCTCCAAATATTGAGCTTCCACCTGAACCACCTGACAATCTCCAAATCATAATTAATTTATCTACACCACCTGATGCTAATAGTCCATTATTACTCCATCTCACACAATTGACACATGCTATAAAAATAATAAAATTATTAGTACATGATATGTATTTTTCAAAATTATATTAAACTACCATTTGTTCATACCAAGATGATTATCTAACTGACATAACATTTTTGGAATATTTTCATCTAATTCTGCAATTTCATTAACTACTGGTTCCATATTCCATATAACAACTCTTCCAGAATCTCCACCTGCAATTAATTATAATAATGGTATCAGTAATAATGTTATTATTTTATTATATTAAGATGAACTTATAAAGGACTTTATATTTGGTACATAATTTATAATGAAATTATAATCTTGTTAAAAATACAATAAATATGAAATAGAGCGTAACAAAAAATATGAAATGCAACATATTACTATTACAAAAGAATTATTATTAATGCACAAATAAATTAAAGGTACTAATACCTTGACCACCAGTAGCAAATCTCTTTCCATCTGGATGTATATCCACGGAAAATATTGAATACCCTGAGAAATAAATTTTTATAATCTAATAATTCAATTGTAAACACTGAGGAAAATATATTTAAACGACACATTTTATACAGACCATCATGTGTCACCCAATTCGGCTTCACTAGCTTCATAGTTTTCTATTTATTAAAACTTGATTGATACAATGGTTATTTTAAATCATTCATTTTAAATACGTTAATATTTAATTCAAGCTTTTGTTTCTTTTGAATATAACACTCTGGTAGGTGGCATAACCTTAAATTAAGATACAAACATATTCTACTACCGGCAATATATTGTGGTGGATTTCTATGAATACGTGAAATTTATCATGCTGTAACATTTTTTTAGACAATACGGATTACCCTTTAACTGTACTT